ACCAAGAAGCTTCACTGGAGGCTCTGGTCCGGTGACAACAAGGTTCCGCCTAACATTGATGTCCATGTGATGTACACTAGCCCTAAAGTTGCCATTGAGACCTCTCTCATTGAGACATTTTGCAATGTTATTAGCAATCAAAGTGAGTTGTTCAAGACTGTCTGCACTGAGAAGGTTTAAGCCTCCATGCACTTTGCAACTGCCACTAACTGGCAGATTAGTGCATCGCAAAGGCAATCTTCTCTCAGTCAACTGATGGCAATTTTTTGAAAGGCATTCATTTCAGCAACGGTCTTCACATCATCAATGGGGCGCATTCTCTCAAAATCGGTCACATCTATAAAACTGAAGCTCGCATCATCTCCGTTCCTAACACTGATACCAGCAAGGTAGTCAAGATCAAGAGCTTCATCACTCATAATGGCCAGCCTGTCACCGAAGTCATGTTTTCCTTCTTATACTGCGGCCGCTCCAATGACATCCAGAACACTTCGCAACTTGGTTCACACAGATTGTCCTCATTGCCACTGAACATGCTATCTTCAGAAACATGTGTACAAAGGGCATTGTCCAGAAAGGTTTAATGTTCACTGGCTACTTGAAGAGTACTCTGCTCTCACTTCCATCATCGACATCCTCCCCATCTTTGTCCTCACTGATGTTCTGGAAGAAAGTTTGTTGAGGCTATTTCAGTACTTTGCACAATCTGAATATGCAGGCTGTCAAAAACCAGGCCAAGTGCTGCTCTGCACAGATTCTTGAGGAGCTTAGCTATATTGACAGTGTCATGCCTGAGAGCACTCTATCTGACATCTTAGATGACTCCACAGCGGGAATGTCACAGCAAAGATGATGTGTCTCACACAGAGCATAAGCTCAATTGTCAACTTCTTGGTGCTCAGTTTAGAGGTGCACTCCATGCATAAGATTGAGCTCATACAAGCCGAGATTGACAAAATTGTGCTCACAGTCCTTTCAACAGTGACCAGTGTGAACAAGCTACTGTTCAATAGTATGAGCAAGCTCGGTGCGCTTTTGAAGTGCAACATTGAGGCCTGCACCTTCACTGTTCTATGCAGTTTCAAACAGACTCGGGTTCTTGCTAGTCTCTGTATACAGTGTAGTCTACTTAATAAATGGCAAGGTGATTATGCGTGTATCTGAGAACACACCTGAAGATATTAACCACGTGATTGAAGTTACCTGGCATGCGATCGATGCCGTCTATGACTGGAAAATTCTTGGCAATGAATGCAATAGACTTTTTTACTGGTTTGTAGAGCTTCTCGAGCAGCAGCAAGATGAGTCCACTACTGTTGAGGTGCTCGATAATGGCAAGACTTTTGCGTGGGCCAGAGAGGCCGATGTTGCCATGTCCATTGATGCCTTCCATCACTATGCAGGCTAAATAAGATCCAGGCAACACCACTAAGACTTCCAACAAGCAGATTGTCTACACTATTCACGGGCCACTTGGCATTGTTGGCCAGATTATCTCCTAAAACTTCTCTCGTGAGTATCATCTTAAACTTGGCTCTAGTGCAATGCTGATCTATGCTCAAAACCTCACAGAGGGTGCGTGAGAGCACAATCAGTCAAGTACCAGCTGTGAGCTCAATGAGTATGACCCTGAGCAGTAATTCACCTTGTTGTATACCAGTTGTTTTGTACGGGGACTTAAGCTAGTCCCTTGAAAAGCATCCTCTGAAGAGCATGTAGAGTCTGCGATTACATTCATTATCATGCGTATGCTGTAGAAGAAATTACATGCCATATCATTATATAGACTGCAGTGTGACAATTGTGGACAAGAATAACTCAAGCAAGGCACATCGGTAGGCGCTCAAACATTGTACTCCTTTATTCAAACTTTGACGACCACACACTCACTTCCGTTTTATTATACCACACACTCCTTTCATTCTCACTGTTATTATTGAATTTACTAATACTTGTTATTTTCAGCTTAGAGCCTATCCATTCAACATTCAATATGAAAACTTGTGCCAGGACAAAACTGAACGACAGTAATACCCCAGAGCCAGCTGCTGTAAAGATCACTACTTGCAAGTGCAAGCAACAGGATATATCAGATGAGAAGGAGAAGGAGACTGAGAAAATGAGATATAGGAAAGGTGCATATTGTGCTATCATATGAGGAAGAGAACTTACTGCTCTTCTAGTGCTGCATCAGAAGAATTCTCAGGACAATGCATCTGGCAAAAAAGGCAAGACTACATTCAAAGGTCAGCAGATCAATGAAGACTCTTAGCTTTAGTAGAAATGAGATGCGGATGTATACAGCTAGCCCACACATGTGCATTTTGTCTACGTGCAGATGGCAGATG